CAAGCTATGGAAGCGGATCCCATGCAATTCAGAGCATATGGGAGGCAGCTGTGCTCGCTGAGGAACCTGAACAGCTTGGATACAAGCAAGTGCCTGGGGATGGGCAGGCGGCTTGCCAAAAGCTGAGAGGATTCCTGAGATGATCGTGTCTGGATGCTGAGCGCTGGATGTTTGACATTCATGCCGCCACATGGGAGGGGAGCAGGCCTGAGGAGGCTGAGGCCCTGCAAGGAAGGATGTGGCTTGGAATGAGGAGCAATGTGAAACAGAAGGCCAGTAGAATTGGTGGCGTGGGGTTTGGAGTCATAATTTTGAGTGGGTGAATGAGATGTCTTAAAGGAGGATGACTCTTATCTCTGTGAACATTTTAAGATGCTGCTAACAAGATGGAAGCTTAGCAACCACAATGCTAATACCTGACTTGGAGCTGATGTCGTCTCTAGTTGGACACTGAATTTAGTCTTTACAAAAGTAAGAATGAAAGATGGGAGTCCAGTAAAGGCCTCTGTCTGTTCTCCTCCTATGTCCTCTTGAGAAAATACTATCAACTCCTTAAAACAGGAATAACAGTTTCAAGAAGCATATCTTCTTCCTCCTTGAAAATGTCATCCATTTCCAGAGCTTGAAAAGGTCACATAATCATAGAATCATTTGGATTGAAAGGGACTTTAAAGATCATCTGGTTCCAACCACCCTGCAATGGGCAGGGCAAGGACTGATGATATGATGAAATGAGGGAAGCAGAAGTCTGATATGCCATGGGAACTCTGCCCTGAGGACAGTTTCTGTGGCAGCTTGACCCTGTCCTCATAATCTGCTCTACAGATATGTCTCTGTCCCTCCTACAAAGGCACCAGACTAGGAAGGATAACCAACACAATGCTTTTTCTTCTAAGCAGCTAGACAAGAGGGAATTGTAAAAAGTTGCAGGGCATTTAGAAGCCAGCTGCTGTTCTGGAAGGCAGACATCCCAGGAAGCAGCCCCACAGAAATCCCTGCCTCCTCCCCAGTGCAACTGTCCCCTTGGGGGGGGTCTTCTATTCCCTTCAGCCTTGCAGTACTATGGCTTCTTCTCCCCTGCACGAGCTCTCTGTCTCTGCTTTGTAAGCAGGTTCCTTGTACTTCCAAATTAATTTCTGGGAGATGTTCAGCAGACAGTCCTAGGGTCAGTGTGACAGTGGTGCCTGTCATTTCCCATAAAAACACCTCTATGAAGTGAAAAACCTGACACACAACTGCTTGTACTAACACATCTCCCTTCCACCATTCCAGGGGTAGCCAGGAGGCTAACAAACAAAAAGACAGAGAAAAGTGACGCTCAGCCAGTATTTGAGGGTACTGCATGCCCAGAGCCCCAGAATGCCCAGACTCTGGGCAACACAGGGTCCCGTGCTTCCCCCTCTCCCTACAGCAGTGGGAGCGACTGTGTTACACACTTGTGCATCTGGCCCCCCCCCCCACCCCGTCCGCCAGCACTAGGATCAGCTGTTGTGTGTGCCGAGACCCTCTGACAAGACATCAAGGGAGGAGGACAAACCTGAGGGGAGGCTGACTGTGGGATTTGAAATCCACCTGCTTTTGTAGTAGAAAAGATGGCAAAAAAAGAGCAGTGTTTTCAAGGCTGGCTCACTAGCGCAGAGGAGCCTGGAGGGTTACTTAGAGCCCAGAGGGGAGGCTGTGCTCGACGAAGATGGGACAAGGGGGAAACACCGGCCAAACTTTTTGAGAGACTGCCTGGCAGGGTAGTCATCCCACAGTCCCTGTCAGCCACATGGGTATTTATTCAGAGGAAACTTTTCTTAGCCCAAATCCATTTGGGTTTTTTCATCTCCCAGCTAGTATTTTCACTATCATTTCCTGAGCACTATTAAGAATTACGAAGACAAATATAACCTGTCTATTATGCTGCAGCCGACACAAACTCTTTCAAAATAGAATATTTGCTGCATAATCTTGAAAATAGCATTATTCTCTTTGGCATTAGTCTCCCTGCTGGGGAAATGCTTTTATTGGATTTTTGCATAATCTGTTTTGATCCTACAATTGGATTCTGGTTCATACATCCTCTCTCCTCCTTAATGCCTCACAGATGCAGGGGAGGAACCTGCATCAGTATGAATGATGTGGCAAAGACTGGGCATATTGCTTACATTTCTTCATGCAATAGCATATTTAATTAAAAAAAACACCCAAACAACCAAAACAAACAGACAACCCCCCTAAGCCATTATTGACATCAATTGGTAGAAGCAGGTTCATATTCACTATGGCAGTATATTGACTATATTGAAATTACTATTTTGTTTTCTTTCACTCATAACAGTAGTTGCTCATGAAAAGAACAACACTTCTTTCTGTAATCATCCTTCCTGGATATGTCTCAAGGCTCTAGACATTCCTGTTATTAGTTATTTATTTTTCCAATACAAGAGACATCATATTTTGTTTTCACTTTCCTATGAAGAGCTTGGATCTCTTGGATAGCATCAAAGCTTACAATCTAAGCTATTGAAATGATTTTGTTTAAAACTTCCCAAACTCCATTTTGAGTTTTGACTAATGCACAGGAGCACAGTGGTGATGTGCTATGGCAAAGCAGCCTGCTATATTTTTATATCGTACTGTAGAAACAAGGAACCTTGGGACATCACTGAAAAAATAATGTAACGCCTCTTGAATTTTGAGTTGTAAACTATGTAAGGTATTGATTAATTGTCCCCATTGAGAGACAAGGTACAATTAGCAGGAAAATGGCAGTGTGTCATACTGACAGCAAGCAGGGAAGAAGAAGGAGGACTAGGAGCAGAGACTAACATGCATCAAGTGATGTAAGATTCCTGCTACTGAAAACAAAATGTTTATTATGACAAACTTGGCATTAGAAAAAAATCAGAGGCTTCACAATCCAGAAAAAGATTTAAATGACTTGAAAAACAATGATTGCTTTTACTGAACATTAATTTGTGACTTGTTTGCAGCAATGCAGATAATGCGTCCACTGTGGCTTCTCAAGGATGAAGTCCTCATATGTTCATAAGAATATATTCATATATTCATGTGAACGACTGAAATAAGAGTATTTTCACTTTAAAGATAGCTCATAGCTTTAAAGTAGCAGCAGTGAACCAAAAATACTATGAAGCTAATGCTTTCCCATTCTGCTGGAGGAAAAGGGGGGTAAGAGGGTTTTTTAAAATTTGCTAAAAACAAGAAACATGAAAGTATATGGTTAACTAATTATGATCTTTAAAGTGTAAAGTTTAGTGTAGCTCAGTTTTCCCCCTCATTACCTATTTTCTTAAGTAATAGAGACACCAAAACCATCCGCCTGGCTCCTACTCTAGATACAGCATACAGACCGAAGTTTAGAAGGTTATGTTTGAATTTTAAATGGGCTAGACTGAAATATTAATGATTCCTCAGCTTAGAAGAGCCTAAAATAGATTGTCAAGTAAGCAGTGCCGAGGTTAGCCTGTTTTAATGTTCTGGGAAAAAATCTACAGCTCTTTCTAATTCTGTTGTGATCTCAAAATGTAACCAAACCACAAGAACTGAGTGTCCCTAAAGTGAGAAGAAACTCTGTTTTTTAAGCGGAGAAAACTGAACAGAGAGAGTAGTACTGCCGATGCTTGAAGAATTAACATTTCTCACCCCTTCCTAAGTTGGCGCTCCAGGCTGGAGGAACAGCTGGACATTTCTGTATTTTGTGTGTGTGTGCACACATGTCCGTGCAGACACAGACCCTCCCTCTGGAAGGACACGTTCGGGCTCTGTCTCCTCTCTGGATCTGGGGACAGGGAACTTCAGCAGCTGCCCTGAAGCCCAAATAATTGTTTCCCCTTGGCCTTGTACTTCCCTGGCCCAGCTGGAACATGGCGTGCAGGGAAGTGCTGGTGTTTCCGTCCCAGTGAAGTTTCTCTGCCACTTGATTCTCCGTTCATGGGTCTCTCCTGGCATTGCTGCTGCTGATGGAGTGCGGGGGACACAAAACATCCTCTCAAAGCTTATTTCCCCTTTTCTACCTGCCCCTGCCAGCTTTGGGACTTGGTGCCTTTGGGTGCTCTGCAGCCCACCGTGCAAAGGGCTCTGTTCTCTGGGGCAAGCCTGCTGTGAGACAGGGCTGCCAGACTCCCTTCTGCCCCTTTCTGTGGCTTCCCAGGGCAGCCCCTGGGTATGGGGATGCTCTCTGGGGTGTGCAGTGGCTGCCCCTGTGGAGGGCAAGGGGACAATGAGGTGGGAGGCCCAGGAGGTTGCAGTGGTGTGACTGCACCATCTAGTGCTGTCCCTGCACAGCCACCGCTGGACACACGGCCTAAAGGAGACTCAGCTGGGATTTCCTCACAAAAAGAAACCAAAAGAAAAAACGACCTAGGTTGTACCTCAAACGTGAGTAGAACCATACATCTTTCATAACCCCAAAATCCGGATAAATTTATGTGTCAAAGGCAGTAAGACATTGTCTTTCCAGTTAACTTAGCTTCCATCCAGCTTAGGCAGCTGTTAAAGAGGAAAAAGCAGGACACAGCACTAGCTTCCATCAGTGATATAGATGCACAAAATACACACATGAAATAATGAGCTGCTTCAGTGGGCCCTAAAGGGAAAACTGGTTCAGTGTAGATCACTGCTGTATTCAGGACCACCTGAATAAAGTCAGAAAATGATAAGGCAAGAGCAGAAATAGAGCCCAGACCCACAGGAGCTGCTTACTCTGCTCCTGCTCAGCGCTGCCCTAAGGCCTGGCCAGTGCTGGGAGAAGCAACTGTGGCAAGCAGGAAGAGTGGCAACTGTGCTCGCAGGGAGGCCAGAAAGAGATCAGTTCTGCTGTGGCTGCAGGCTTACAAAAGTAACTGTTTTGTAGCTTCTGATAAGTCTGAAAGTCTTCAGGCCTCCGAGCTGGGAGTCAGGAATACACCATTTTACCCTTAAAAGCCTTTGGCAGCAGGTCCAGCAGAAGCTGGACTGCTGAGGCTCTCCTGCTTCCTGCGTTGTGATGTAAAGGAAGCTGAGGGGAGCACCGGAATCATTAGCCTTAGCCAAGGTTAAGTGGTAATGCCTTCCAATAGGTTCTCCAGAGCATGTTTGCAGATATACAAGTATATACCACAAATGGTAAAAAACAGAGGAGAACCTCAAGTAAAACAAAGGTAATGGAAAATAGCCTTACTGCCTCTATGCGAAAAGGAGAAAACAAAATGGGGAAATAGAAGAGCATCACTGAGCATAAGTGGTTTTGGAAAATGTGCTGAGATAAAGAGCAAACTCTGAATCAGTTAGATGTAAAGACAAGACCTGTTTTACAGCAATTAGCTGAATTTCCCTCATCCACTCTTCATGTTAGTACTCTGGGATCTATACCTGCAGACAGTGGCCTATATATAGACAGTACAACTTAGAAAAAGTAATTATTACAGCAGAGGATTTTAGGGACGTGGTCTTATGGATACCCAAATGGCAAGTGGCAACTAACAGCAGACTATGGAGGCCTGACAGCTGCTGCCAAACCACTCATTGCCTCTGTTCCCAGTAGGGCTGATATAGTTAGTCCTCTTAATGATGGAGGGCATCTACTGACACGAAAGAAATGTTTTTGATGACCCCAGCACCAGGGGCAGATCGGAGGAGGTTTGCTTTCATTTGGCAGGGACTTCACAATACATTTACTCGTCTATCCCAAATCTTAAACCATAGCCCTAGCATACATGTAGCTCATGCTACATTGGCTGAAGAGCTGGAAATGTTAAAATTTCCACAAGAGGTCACTGTGAGGCAGTGCGTCGGGGATGCCTTAAGAGGTGGCCACTTTGTAAAACCTGTAAAGACTACAAACACTTGCTACCCCCACAATCAACTGGGGTAGAGATACCAGAAGAAGAGGAACAAGGGCCCAATCACAAATTCATCTTTTGGAGAGTCAGATGGACAGGTGGGAGAAAAACATATACTACAAGAAATCCAATAGTTACCCCTGTCCCAGAATAAGAAATTAGTTATGTGCTGTGCTTGGAACTTCAGGATCTTGGAAGGCACATATTCCAGGATTTAGCATAATAGCCTGACTACTCCATAACTTATTAGAGAAAAATGCAGTCTGTGAATGGACCCCACAACATAAGAAGGCCCCAACAGCTGTTAAAGAAAACCATAAATGTGTATCAGTCACTAGTGCTCATCTACCCTATGTGGCCACTCTCACTACAGGTCCAGGAGAGAGAGAAGGGATATTGCTGGGGACTAGAGCAATAGTGGCTGCCTGGATCCATGCAACATCACATTACTTTGCGTTCCAAATCACAGCAGAAGATTACATTTGTGTAAGAATGCAGTCAGACATAACAATAAGACTATTATTAAATAATTATGAAAAGAAAAATGATTTTGAATAGGAAACCAGAGATTATGACTTTATAGGAAGATTGTGAAGCTGGGCAGTGGGGTCTTGGAGAAGGCAAATACACTTCCCCTCTAATGAAGCTTTTTGAAAGTTGAAAAGAGCATGAATGTTTATTTCCATGGTAAGCATGGAGTGCTTCACTCCAGCTCACAAAGCTTTTTGCATCTCAGTGAAATGCATCAGAAAATATGATAGGTATAGTCTCTCCCTAGACCATTTTCTGCACTTGCTTAAGTGAGACCTTCGTTATCTCCATCTCTAAGTACTGCTTGGGAAAGTAAGATGATCTTGAGAGAGTAAAATTGTCATTAATAAAACTTCCTCAATTCTCTTCTTTCTGTCAGATACACTGAGCATTCACGTGCCATTTGGAGAGATGCCAGTTTTAGAGAAGAACTGGCAAGGCTGTGACAGAGCCAGAAGCTTTATCCACAAGGCTTAATTCAGGGATGCTGACAGTTGCTCTTTGAAGACCTCACCTTTTTGTCATGGTTATTAATAAGCAATGCCTTTAATGCTCAGTATAGCTACGCGTGTGCTCCATGCAAAGGTCTGAACAACCAACCCAAGATCATGGCAGGTATCTCAACACAATCCCCTCACAGAGGGCAGCAGGGACTTCCCTGCCTCCTTCTCCCTTTTTGTATCAGGAAACAGGGACAGAAAGAGCAGCATCTCCTAAGCATGCTCTCAGGTGAAAGAGAAAACTGATCCTGAAATTATGGAAGAAAACACAGAGATAGAAGGGGAGAAAATCATATTCTGGTTAGTACTGCAGTGCTTGAAATATTTGTTTGGTGCCACTCCAGCCGAATAGGCAGTGTCTTGTGCCTGCTCTCTCCACCAGAGAGAGAGCAGACTTTTTGCAGGCTCCCTCTTCCTTCAGCAGCTCTTTTGCAGCCCCACTGTGGTGAGAGGCTCCCACTCTGTTTCTCTCCCAATCCTAACCCTAATCCTTGCCCTGGTTTTGGCTGGGATAGAGTTAATTTTCTTCCTAGTAGCTGGTACAGTGCTGCTTGTTTGGATTCAGTATGAGAATAATGTTGATAACACAGATGTTTTAATTGTTGCTGAGTAGTACTTACCCTAAGTCAAAGTTTCAGTTTCCCTTGCTCTGCCAGTGAGGAGGTGCATGAGAAGCTAGGAAGGAGCATAGCCAGGACAGCTGATCTGAACCGGTCTGAGAGTGCTGGGGTTGTGGCCTTCTTGACAGGTCCAGCATGGCTACTGCACTGTGTGACTTTGTCACCAAAGACCCTGTCAGCTGGAGAGGTAGTGTGAATCCTGGATGTAACCATTGCTTCAGCAGGTGCTTGACTTCCCTGGAGTCTCTCCTGGGTTTCTGTGATTCTGAGCAATTCACCCATGTAATCTTAATACATTTCTTGTTGCAGGATGATACCAAGAAATGCACCTTCTTAGTTCCTTTACACACTGAAGAAGAATTTTGCCACTCAGATGGTAGTTTTTAAACACAAACTGAGGAACTGCCCTCATCTATAGCATTCTGCAAGCTGGCACTTCTGCAAAACCACCTACATCACTTCAATCAGAGCATTTCAGTTCTATCCAGGAGACCCCTTAAACCCTGGAGTGTTAGTACTCCTTATGCTCAGTGACAGAGACATCAGTGTTAAGTACCACTGGCCAATGCCAGTAGTAGTAGTATCTCTATGTTCCGGTTTTCAGAGCCATGTTTAATCGTGTTCCTTGACAGCAATAGGAAATAGATGTGCTCATTTCTCACGTAAGAGTCACCACAGAGGTGTGGCACTGCAAGGGAGTACTGCTACTGGCAGCTACGTGACAGAGCAAATAAATCCTCTTGGCAGCAGCGGCTGCACTTTTTTCCTCTCACCGTGCAAAACCTCAGCTCCTGTAAGCACTCTGGAGGAGACCACCAGCATGGCCAGACGTAGAGTAAACCATCACCTCACACTTCCTTGCTGTAGTATCAGAAGCAGGAAAACGTTTTCTACGATGCTGCAACACTAACTGACTTTCTCATGGGTTTACCAAGGACTTGTGCTGAGACACAAATACAGGTCTTGAGAACTTTTAATTTCTTCAGGGCAACTTTTCTAGAGCAGAAAACAGCTCCTTTAGGAGAAAGAGGATCGATCTATGATACTTTCTGAAGGGGGGAAAAAGCATCAATACAGCCATCATTTCCAAATTCCTAGCATGATCTTCTTTTTAAGAGATACAAATCCCATGCTGAGAGATTTCTGCCCCTCGAGCTAATGAGAACTGAAGATGGTGCTCCCATTCTCTGGGGCAAGTACATTGCATCTGGTAGCACTTTCTTTTGCCCTGCTGGCAGGAGCAAGGGGAAAGCACCAGACTTAAGAGAAGAACTATCATCAGAGTGCTGCTACCCCTAGGCTGGCAGAGCAGAAGCCATGTGTTCTAAATTCCGTTGGTGACAGACACTAAAAGGCAGAAGTTCTTGCTTCCACCCTTGCTGTAAGATGGGGGCACGGACTGCACAGAACCATAGAATCATTTAGGTTGAAACTGTTTTACTTGAAAGCTGCCCAATTGACATACCTGCCTTGCACAGCTATTGCAGAAACCTCTGCAATGTCAAAATCCTCTATAGATGTAAAATATCTCTGTGTTACATCTGTGCCTTGGAGGTTTCCACTCTTTTAAGAGGAAACGATTAGTATAATGTAAAAAATCCCAAACCTAAACAAAAAAACCCAAACCCCACCCCCAAACAGGAAAGGTGGTGTCCTTAGAGGCATGGTCACAGCTTCACAGTTTAGGTGGCTGCTTCCTGAGTAACTTCTCAGTTGTCTTTCAGACTCTCCCCATTTAGTCTGAGCTGCTGTTTCACCACATGTTAGCTCCCCACTCTGCATGGCACAGCTCTGCATGCAGATGAAAGCTGATCCAGATTTCAGCTGATTTCTTCTGCTGATTTTTGCTTTTGTTCCTCTTGCAGCAGATGGAACTCAGACAAGACAAGTGACATCGCGGCCCTTTGCTCTGGGACACTTCCTATATGACACGAGAGTGATGCAACAGTCACACCCCTCAAGTCATGCCTGTGTTATGTTTTTTTAAAATTAATATCATACTACAGCTTTGTTGAAAAAGAGTAAGAAGGGCATGAATATTTTGAACTTTAATAAACTTGGTGAACAAGAATGAAGTTTCTCTGAATGTTCTTTTTCAGTTCTTGTAGACAAACCAGGACTTGTCCTGGGTCTCTTTCTGTTATCAATATTGCCAAAGATGTCTCAAAATGAAAAAAAAAAATTCCACATAAGAATGCAATATCAAAGAGTGTTATTATTATTATTATTGAACAACTAGGAGGACCATGCCTGTGTGTGGAGAGCTGTGTGCCAGCAACTGGAGTGGTGCTGGTTGAGTGATATGGCATCACCTTCCTTTCCTCATTAGCTGCAAATCATATGCTTTGAGTGACTATTTTCCTTTACATCCTTCAAGTACTGCTGTTGGGGTGGAAGGACCTGACCCTGTGTGTGTGTGTAGCCCTCCCCATTTTCCAGACTTTACTCTTTTGTGGGACAACCAGGAAAGACCTGCTCCTGCTGGAATGGGAAGCTCATGCTGACAGTTTAACACCAAAAGAAAGGTTGTAACCAGTGTCCCTATTCAGGGCTGCCTAAAAGCCTGCACTTGTCCTCATGTAGGGTTGCATGAGCAGTGGCTGAGTAACAATGTTCCCATGAAATCGACCCAATTTGAAGTCAGTTGCTTCTGGGAGGAAATGGTCTTGGTCAGTTCTAAATAGCAGATGTGACAGTGTAATATATATAAATAAATATAAATAAATAAACATATAATAGAATATAAAATTTAATAAAATTTTAAATTGCATATTTTCTTTTCAGTGAAGATGTGAAAAGGTCCCCCCTTTTCTACCTGCCCCTGCCAGCTTTGGGACTTGGTGCCTTTGGGTGCTCTGCAGCCCACCATGCAAAGGGCTCTGTTCTCTGGGGCAAGCCTGCTGTGAGACAGGGCTGCCAGACTCCCTTCTGCCCCTTTCTGTGGCTTCCCAGGGCAGCCCCTGGGTATGGGGATGCTCTCTGGGGTGTGCAGTGGCTGCCCCTGTGGAAGGCAAGGGGACGACGAGGTGGGAGGCCCAGGAGGTTGCAGTGGTGTGACTGCACCATCTAGTGCTGTCCCTGCACAGCCACCGCTGGACATGCAGCCACTAATGGGCAATAACGAGCTGCTTCAGCAGGCTCTGAGGGGAAAATGCAGGTTCGGTTCTAGACCGCTGCTGCATTCAGGGCCAGCCTGAATCAAGTCAGGAAATGATAAGGCAACAGCAGAAGTAGGGCCCAGACCCACAGGAGCTGCTCACTCAGCTCCTGCTCAGCGCTGCCCTAAGGCACAGCCTCACCAAGGCCTGGCCTGTGCTGGGAGAAGGGCCTGACAGGGAGAGCGGCATCTGTGCTGGTACTGAGGCCAGAAAGAGATCAGGTCTGCTGAGCCTGCAGCCTTGAAAAAGTAACTGTTTGGTAGCTTCTGATAAGCCTGAAAGGCTTCAGAGCAAACTGCAACAAGGCACAGGGAAGGTGTAATTAGACGAGGTTTCCGAGCTGGGAGGCAGGACTACATGTTTACCCCCAAAGCCTTTGGCAGCAGGTCCAGCAGAAGCCAGGCTGCTGAGGCTCTCCTGCTTCCTGGAGTAATAGAGGGGACACCTGCAGCGTGATGGAAAGGAAGGATAAGCACCCTCTCTTGCTCATAAGCATGCGGGTTAGTAATTTTCTGAGTTAATGACTATGTGAATTGTTGAAGCAGTACATTAGAGAATTGAAAGATCAGACTAGTTTATCAAAAGAGGATTGAGCCCTGGTTTGATTTTCACCTAATAAGGTCATGAAGTAAAGCTTGACTGACAGAGTACATTGCCCTATGAATTTATGAGACCCAAATGAACCACAGCAATCCATAAAATAGTTCTCTGCTGAAACTAGAATTACACAATACAGTAGTAACAAACTAGAAAATGCTTTAACCGTGTGGTTGAGAGATTAAGGATCACTGTAGAAGGCAACATGGATTTATTAGGAAGTTCTCTTAGAAAGTGTTGAGCTGCTTCAAAATGGGACCTGACACAGTCAGTAGATTGGAGACAGTCTCTGGATCTATGCTGATGCATGCTGGAGTGGTGGGTACCTCCTCCACACTCCACAGAACAGTACAGTAAGTGAACTTCTGTGTTAATGTGCATTTTGTGACTCTGCTTCTCTCTTCTCTGAGTAGATTGCCTAAGGTTCCAGGAAAGCTTCAGTTTTGGCCCAAGCAATCAGCATGGATTGAATTAGAGGAAGTCCTGCTGGCAGCTCCTTTGGCACAAGGGCTACAACACAGGCACTGCAAAGAGAGACAACAGTCACTGACAGCTGCTCCAAGCTCTGCATCTTGGCACATGTGACCTGTTCAAACACACAGACACCATGGCAGCAAGGCTGTACTGCAGAGGAAGTGTGTTTTGAGGTTTTGGTTAAATTTCATCAATATCTGTCCTTTTTAATGGCAAGCTTGATAGAAACCCATATTTAAGGACAGTCAGTTTCCCTTACTTCTAGAGAGGATCACAGATCATTTGGCAAATACACGTTAATGAAGGGTGCAAAAGACTTCTTGCCTTTTCCTGTTTTGTTCTCCTATTCTTTTTGTTTTGGGATTTTTTTGTTTGTTTGTTTTATTTTGTTTGTATTCAGTGACCTGAATACTCCTACTTCATAGCTATGAAGTATCTTGCCACATGAAAACATTTGTTGACTTTTAAGAATCACTAAATGACAGAATTCCAAAATTAACTCTTCCCTTATTTGTGTGTAAAGATTAAAAGGTGTGGAAATACAATCAAGGAAAATTACTTTAACGGTTAAGAATGAATCAATTTGACCTTCAACTGCTAGGGCTGAAGCCATCTAAGGAACTATATTACTCTCCAAAAACGTAAAGTACCCAAACAAGGTAATCCTGTTGTTAAGCAGATTGGGAAAAAAAACTGCAAGGGATTGTGATGCCACCGGGCACCATAGCACCTGCTCTTGTCTAACCAGGTTTCCTTTAATTAATGTAAAAAATTTTGCAATGTCAAAGAAGTTATTTAAAGCTAACAGAAAGAAATCTATTTTTTTTTCCTCTTGCAACTGACCATGTTTTGTGACTGAGGCTGTTATTTTATGGGATTTGGAGCTCAAGAGCCAGCCAGAAGATTTTCTAAACATCAAGACAGCAACTGAAGGCCCTGCAGTGTAAACGGGAGCACAATTCTAAGTATTCAATGTTTGTAACACTAGCATCTTCTAATAAATTCTCCCCCTGCAGAAGCAGAATGATTATCAGATCAGGGATCAAGAAGATACTTGACACAAAAATATTGATCGCAACAGACTGCAAACTTCACTTTCAGAAGTGATAATCCTCTGTTCTTTCTACAGAGCAGATAGATTTGTAAGTGTTCGGTACTTCTGAAGTCGAGGCAGAGGTGTCTTGTCAAGTGACATGCCTAGGAAATTAACTTTGAAGGTACTCCTTTGGAAAAAAATGGGGCTGAAGTTCAAGCCCACAGCCTTGAATGATGGCAGATTTTCACCAGACTTCCTAGCAGTTGCTTCCAAGCCGTCTGGTTTCATTGGTAGAAAATTCACAACTTCAGCAGGTGAGCAAGACTGAATGAGTAACGAGCAAGTCAGTCACAAATTTCTGAGTCAAATGCTGAAAGATAAACCCTCTAAGAAGTTATCTCTAACTGTAACAATAATTCAGAGCATTTTAACAAAGAAGCTTGAACAAAACTGTAATTGCACTGTAATTATGCAGACTCTTGATGCAAATGTTAATAACCAGAATATACTGTTCCTGATTTGTTGTAGAGGAACAAAACTGCTCAAGCAGTTGAAAGGTAATGACTTAAACATCACTATAGAGCATCAGACAATAAAGGGTACTTAAAATAAACCATTATCATAGCTGAACACATATTAAAACAGTCTCTTTATTGTGATTATTTTTTCTTTTTACCCGACAGTGTTATTTCTTAAGAATAAATATTAACAGGTGAAAGTATCTCTGCTGGGCCTGCAAATTCACGTTCCTTGCAGCAGTACTGTCATAACCAACTATTTCGCTGGCTTCTTGTTCCCTGCCCTACCCTGCTCCTTCTTTCTGGGCAGTACACCGGCTGCAAGGCCACCCTGCCCATCAGATGAGGGACCTGCCCAAGCGGGAGTCACCACTTCCAACCCTCTACATCCTGGATGTTGCCAGCAGCCACACTGGCTTCAGTAACCCTCTTCCCTGTTCATCTCTGCCCTTGCACAATCCATTAGTTGCTCAAAACCTTCAGCAGAGCTAAAATAGGGAAGATATTTGACAGAAAAATAGCATTTTTAAAGACTAGTTGTTTTTCACTTGAGCCCATTCAACATGCAATGATCTCCGAACAGTGGACAAGGAGCGATGAGAGCAGGAATAAGGTAAGGGGCTGATGAATGTCTCACAAAAAATGGTGTACCCACGATAGAACCAGCCACCTGGGGAGCTGAGCTAAACTGTTGTACTCTGCCATGGAGCAGAGCTAGAGCTCTGGGGAAAATAAAAAAAAAAAGGAGAAAAAAGAAAAAGAGCATCTGATTAAGCAGTAACTAGCAGCTAAGGCAGAAGCACCTTGAGCAGCTGCAGCCATTTTGGAAATGAACTTGTCACTAGCCCCTAAACCACAGACACCTCAAAAGCTGACCTTACCCTGAATTAGGAAAGATTTATTCTTCTGTTTTTCTACTCTGAGAGCATTTCAGACTAAGTAAGATGAAATAAAAAATGTTTTTAAAGAACGTATATTGGTAGAGGAAGATCTTAAAAAAGTTTTAAAATGGGCAACTCTAAAATAACTCTATGTTATTTTTTTACTTCAAAACACTTCCATACTTTAAAGCAAAATCAATTGATTTTAAATCTATTATTCTAATACAAGGGAGATAATAAAATCAATACCACTTTCTTTACGATAGTTGTCACGTTATAATAAACTGGAAAAAAATCTAGTATGTAGTGACTTTTTGCACTAAATCCACTGTTTAAAGTTTTAGCAAGCTATTTGTTCATCTGTAGGATGATAAACAGAATACATCACTTGGCTTTTAAACCAATTC